CACCATTGGATTGCACTACGACTGGAATTTGATCATGAGATGCTCGGCTGAGGATTCTGGTCTTGATTTGGTTGGTTCGTTCTTTCATCCGGACAAGACGACGCATCTTTCCATATAGGCAACCAACCCCAACAAGGCCTCAAGCTTACCGCACCATCCCGTCCCAGACATCCGGTCACTCTTTCCACATCGCATCCCCTTTTTCTCGCCGGGAAGCCACTGCGTCGTTGCCAACCAGACTAGCGACTTGGGGCGTAGCTTGGAGACGCCAATTATTTGGCTACTCTCTCCTGTCTCCCTAAATCAGGAACATCGACTCGGTAGAGCCAAGCCACCTTTTCTGGCCCTTATGCCGCCGGCCGCGCTTACGTCTACACCTACTCCATTACACCTCTTTATTCTCTCCAGGTCTGCCCATCATACTTTTCCCGCCCGGTGGCCGTTGGATTTCTCCATTTTTCGCATCCCAATTTCTCTTCTCTCTTTCGGCCTGTCACTGCTCTTGCTGTTGACTTGGACGAAACTGGCCAACGTGGGAGAATCGGCAACTGGTTGCACTGATTCACACCTTCCGCCTTTTATCGACGTTTTCTTCACTTCGCTAGCAAGACCTCTCCGACATTCGAATACACTCAATTGCGTTACTTGAACGCTTCATCTCACCTCTTCTCCGCGACTACCACATAATTCATAATCAGCTCATTCGTTCGCGAACTTCACGCCTCTATCAATCTTCATCTCCCTGGACGACTCTTCCCAATGGCCGAGCCTGCTGAATACCATGGCGGCCTCGTTGCCTTCGAGGGTCCCCATGACCTCGTTTCGACTCAGCTCCGTCTTCTACCTATATCATCGCAAATTGCCATCCTTCCCAGCGTCAAGGAATTCCTCGAACCCGAGAACCCCGATGAGCCGTTTGAAGCGCGCAAGTTTGTCAGGCGAGTTCACAATGCTGTCGCCAAGAGAAGGGACACCGCTTTGGAATTCTTGAAGGATTCGAACCCCAAGCGTAAGAGACTGGTCTTCATGAATGGCGGTACGCCCAGCGCGCAGACGGTCTGCATCAGAGCCATCTCTCGGAATGAGACAGAGGGGGATATATCCAAAGCCGAAGCAATCTTCAATGACCTTGTTAAAGGTGGCGTTGCCGGCCTCGAGGACCCCGCCAACTCAAGCGGCTCATTCCTTGATACCTCGGAGGAAACAAGCGAAGACCCCATCACCAGAGCTATGCGTGCTGCCGATGCTCTCGACCGGGAAACTGCAAACTTACAGCCTTCCAGCGACATCGATCTCACCACTCCCGCCGGCCGTCCGCGCCCGAGAAGCATGAGCCTACCCATGTATAGCTTCGCCGATACCTTTGGTGATATGGCATCCTTCTACGTCTTTGGTGGCCAGTTCAGTGAAGATCATATCAAGGAGGAGGGGCAAGTCGAGGCTACGACTCCACATCATGGCCCAACACCCAGGCTCGCCATCACGAATTTCGACGAGCTTGAAAGAGTCTCCGGTGAAGGCTTTGATAGTGACGGTAAACCCATCGTCACTGCTCCACTTCGGTCTCCGAGCTGTGTGGGCGAGGCATATGAGCGGGATGATGTCTTCTCATCTTCTTCACCTAACGCTCCTGGCCTTCTCGACGTGGCATCTCCCAGATCTGACGTCTTCAGCATCCGTTCGACAGAGCCAATATACATCGAACAAGCCTCACTCGTCCGTATGAAGTCATCCGCCTCTTCCAGGACTTTGAAGCGGTCACAGTCGATTAGCCATCTCCATCGAAGCAACTCTCGCTATAGAGACACTCTCATGCGGCTGAAGCCTAAGGAGCAAAGTGCTGCTGAGAAAATTCACAATGAGAAGCCCTCCGCTGAGAACTTGTTGCTTTCCGCTGAGAAGACTACTGCCGAGAAGGTTGCCGAGGGTCGCCCTGTGTCGGTAGTTGAACTCATCGAAGACGCCGAAAAACGCGAAAGTAGCGCTAAGCGCGTCGAAGGCCCGAAGACAATCTATGTCAAAGCAGCCCGACCAAACAAGGGAGTCAACAAGGCATTGCCGCCCCCTCCACCGTCCGAGAAGAGACTGCGCAAACGTAAGCATACCAAGTCTAGGTCGAAATATGTCGACAGAGGAACCGATGCCGAAGATGTCGAACTGAATGAGACGCCGTTCCGACCTGTACTGCCATTCTATGAGGACCTAGTCATTCACTTCAAGGACGACAGTCCAGACCCAATCCTGGAATACATGATCAAGGCTTTCAGAGAAGGTGTTTATCCTGTTACACTGCCTTCTTCTGCTTCCTCCGGCACGTCTACTGCGGATGGTGACAGATCGACCCCGCAGACTCCAACCTGGCAACTGGCCGAGCCCGAAGTCACCCAGTTCACGTCCACGACGAAGGTCAGCACAGAAGAGTACGACCCTTTCTCCTACCAGGGTCCGACCTACACCGCGAAGCCTGTCCAGCCTTTCACCCGGACTGTGATAAGATCAGCTCTGCCTACGCCTGCGCATACGCCTCCGCCCACGGTGTCCGAGTCGGAGGATAAGTTCCACGATTTCAACGCCGTGCACGGTCAGACGGCTGTAGCCATGCAGAACTCCCTCAGATCAGTGCTTAACATCTACTTCCCACCCAAGGGAAGAGGGTTCTCTCAGTTCAACTTTCCGTTGCTTCCCGAGATGGACGCACTGTGGAAGCCGATATTCCGGGACGTTGAGCCTGGTGGAAGTCCAAGAAAAGACAATCACCGAATAGACCAAATCCTGGCCATAGGTGCGCAACGTGGAGTCAAGAAAACATTTGTCTCTGGAGTAACTAGCCAGCTTGAGAAGTTGGGCACAAAGTCGAGCGGCATTTCGAGGACTGGCAGGCTGGATTTCCGGTAAGTTCATTTCTTTGGGTGATCTTTTCGTCTCTTGGCTAACGAAACTTCTCAGATATCTCATTGCGAACGCGATGCAGTCCTTCACCGCACAGCCACTGGCCAACCAGACTCAAGACAACCCTTTCACCAACTCATATCTTCTGGCGACGCTTATCATTCCTCATCTTGAGACTTTCTTTGCTGCGCACTCCGAAGTCCGTTTTCTGATTCTCGACTACCCTCCGGATCATCTTGCCACCATCCTCGCTTTGCAGAAGTTGGTCGGCGTCGATTTGATGAAAGTTGCCCAAGTCATTGATGCTCAGGCCAAGGAGCCACTTCCCTTCACTCATGTTCGAGGTAGCTCCTTGGGACGTATTCCTACTGTGAGTGACTTGGCATCGAGCTCAAGCTCACTCCAGTCCAAGGGATCGAGATCTGCCGCATCGACATCTTCGCGAGATGGGCTGGCAGTTTCCAAGGCCAACTTTCTCCTCGCATCCACCGCAACAGAGGCGGAAGTTGCGACTTTTGTGTCCACCATCTGGAAGACTCTGATCAACATCTCCAAGTTTTACTTGCCTGAAGAAAGCAAGAAGCTTGAAGAGAGTAGTGTCAAGAGCAAGCGGCAATCCGGGAACTTCTCGGCATTCCCTCAGGCTTCGATGAGCCCTCCGATGTCTCCGCCATCCACCAGTGGTCGCAAGGCCGTGAACAGGGCATCAGGCTCTATCAGAACTTCAGCCCGACCTTCTTCCATCGCAGAAACAATCATGAGTCGCCGATTCAAGTCACGACGAGGCGACAGAAAAAGCGTCGGCGATGCCACATCCATCTTAACCGTCGATATGGACTACGAGAGCGATCTAGACCTCGAGGAAAGACGTTTGATGCCCATGTTCTTGAAGAAGAACCAGGTCCGGAAGGGAAACAGCCGCAAGGCCCTTAAGTTTCTCGGCCTAGCTTGATAAGTCACTCCGTGACTTTGTACCGTTACTTGTATCTGTAGGGCTAAATGGCTCGGCCCTGCATCTTGTTTTCCTTTTCTTTGAAATGACCCCATCACGACGTTTCATTATCAGTCTCAACACCATGGCATAAGGTGTTGCATCATGTTAGAAGAAGAGCCACATCATGTCGAAGGGGGAAATGGGGCAGAGGGCCGAGAGATGGATGGATACTTGCTGCTCGGTTTCAAGATCGATGATCTTGTTCTTTGCTCTTATCATCAGTTCCGAGCGCGTCATATGCGCGATCTTTCAGTTGTAGTCTTGGCTGGACAATACCCAGGGACAGATCTCCCATAGATACGAAATGAAACTTTCAGAGCGCCTGCATTCTTCCTTCTTGGTGTTGATACTTCGCCTACTTGGCGCGTCAGTGATGGTGGCACCTTGAGGTATCAAATAACCGACTTGTGTCGGACCTCTCGAGGGGACTATACGTTCAAAGTAGAGGCCTCGACGGATGCTGCAACATCAAGTGAGACAGAATAACATCAGGACCATGGTCGTAATTGCCAGTAGCTCGGACTACTTCGACATCTCCATCCAGAACAACTCACTGCTTTTGAAATCTGGCCTGACCAAGTCGTTGCGCATTTGCACACAAAGACATCTGGGCACGCACCAAAGTCCTGGACATCATTATCACGCCGGCTCAAAAGTCCAGCAACACCATTGAGCTCTCCCACCAAAATTATCTCCAGAATCCCCCACCTTCTTACACGACACATGGCTTCGAATGTATCTATCTCAGTTTTCCATTAATATTTGAATACAACGCTGATATGAAGGATTAGGGAGGTGTAAGACCTTCTGGATTTAAGTTAAAGGTGATAAATTTAGTATGAGGAGACTGGAGAGAACTTCCAAGTGACCCTTGATGGTACTTCTGACTCACAAAGAGTTCATTTTCTTTGATAACAAGATACTTGGAAGTCGAGGGAAACCACAAAACCTAATATGCTGCCTCCAAGAATCGCCATAGATCCATCTCCATTTGCCCTTTGCCTGCATTCAAGACCCCGAAGTCTCTCCCTCCCCCCCTGAGAATCAGCCAAACATTCAACAACCGATATCCATCATCCAACACTCATCATCCAACACTTAAGACGAGACCAACAAGATGAGCCAACTAGGAGACTATAACGACCTCGGCGAGGACATCATACCGGCGGGTACCCCCTCCGACAACAACATCCCACACCGCATCCAACAGCACCCTGAGATTGCCCGATTGTCTCAGGATCTAGAAAAAAACCCGTCAAACCTTGGTACACTTGGACAAGATACTCGACGAGTTCAAAGACATCGAGGGACCAGAGCTTTCTCGCCTGAAGGGAGAAGGCATCGATGTGCCGATGGCGCGTCTCGGTGGGCTCGATCTGAACTACAAGATCTGCCAAATCGAAGAAGATCTCTCGGCTCTTCGGGAAACATCCGCAGAAATCGACAGCGATGCGGCGGCGCAGGAATGTACCAAATTGAAAAGGTGTCGAGACTCCCTGGGTCAAACAGTGTTCCAGAAGAGGTCCCGTATTATCGAGCATCTCAACGTGGCGAGCCTCTGGGGACCTTGTGCCAGGACCATAGCCCAGGGTATGGAGACCTACTACGGCAGGTTTGATAGATACCAGACGAAGTCCCTGGGAATCAGTAACTGGTTCCGCGATAAAGCTCTGCTGTACTACGGAGGGCAATCTTGCCAATACCAGGCCGCAGAAATCTCCAGGACGGACACCGAGATGGCAAATCTTTTGGCCGAATCCTACGAACACTGCTGGTGTCACGCCACCGGCTCGTGGACGCATCTAGAAGAAACACCAGATGACGAGCATGCTCAACCCCTGCCTCAGCGCTATGCCGCTGCGAACATTGTGCCGTATTCCTCGAACGTACCTCATGAGATCTTGGATCACCTTTTCCGTGAGAGAACGGGCGAATCGAGCGGGCCGGTGAATTCACTTTCACTTTCGACGCTGATCCAGTATTGGTTCAACCATTATAAGCTAGTCATTGTCCCTGTTGATCCGGAAGAAAAGCCACTCAAACGATGGAAGATCGACATCCTCGACAAGGGCATAGAAGATGACCCCCTTCACGACGTAATCTCCACACCTGGCGGGGATAGACCTCGCATAGCTAGAGGTCTTTAGGACAGAGAATTGGTATTCCTCAACGACAAGCGACCGGCTGCACGATTTCTGTATTTCCATCTCATTATGGCACTTCTCCGCTTGAAGGATACCAAAGCGGAGAGCTGGAAAGACGCCCGGGCAAAGTACTTGTGACCCGTCCCCAACCCTTCTTCACTTCCTATCTCCTTAAGGGGTAACACCCTTCTCTCCCCCCTTAATCATGGGCCACACCCATTCACTATCTATTAGAGTATATTCTCCTATGTATATAAAAACAATTTTGATGTGAAAGGGCAGTACTTGTGATATGAGTAGTGAAAGGGATACTGATTGAAATGTATGGTAGGAAACCAATAATGTTAACTTTGGGGAGTAGGTTCAATTCCTGGTTTGACTTCCAAGTGATTCGTAGAGAGTAAAATCTAACGCTATCTTGTAGTACAACTGCCCAGGTACGCAAGAAGGTGGAAGAACGGAGCAAACAGTCGAACGTGAGGCGAGCCCGATGACCGGTCGATCCGAAACCCTCGTATGCGCCGCCCATCATACTCTCGTTCGACATGCAAATGCTCGTTGACTAGGTTGGCAAACGCCTAGATTGGTTCAGGCTGAGACCTCACGCGGGATGCTTTTCATGAATTGGGAAACAAACGGAATCGTCACCCTCAATTGCCGCAATATCAAGAAGGAAAACGTCACTTGCCCATTACTTCGACCCTATCTACCAGAAAAGCAGCAGCCGCCAAGGATTGGAAACAAAAAAAGAGAAGACATGTGGCTGGGAACCAGCGCGCAGACACCCATACGTACGGCCCGCTGCGTTGCCTATGTGCTCGCCCCCTGGCCAACCAAGCTTGATTGCAAAGCACACGATACGCCGGCAAAACAAAGCCTACGCTTGTAATACACATCGAGTTGACCTTGTTATTCTCTCTGCGCTCAGTGAGATCCCTAGAAGTCTCCCACTGAACGCCCCAGAGTCTGGCTTCTGAATTGCCGTGAACAACGCCATGGGTCCAGTTACAGAGGTATCTTGTGTCGATTGTGTGTGTGTGCAGTGCGAAGGAGCTGGGACGAACCAAACCAACACTCATCTATGCGTAGAAGTATGGAAAGCAGCCTTTGCGCGGAAGGAGAGAAAAGCGAACGACACAGCATCGTCCGAGCCAAAATGTGATCCCTACACCGTCATGAGCTGTGCATTCCCTTCCTCGCCCATTCTGCCCAGCTGTATCCCCTCCGCCGAGAAAAATCCGTAAAATGCCATAGAACACAGGTAAGGAAAGCGGGCTTCGTAGAAATCAGGGACGATACATTTAGCAGCAGCCACCTCCCGAGTTCGAGGAGACACCGTGGCCAGGGCCAACCTGTACGGAGGGTTTCGTGTTGTTCGCGGTCGTGCTACCCATGCGCTCCTTGATCTGGCGGGCCATGGTCAGGAAAGCCTGCTCGACGTTGCTGGCGTTCTTTGCAGAAGTTTCAAGGAAGGGAATGCCCAAGCTGTCGGCGAATTCCTATTGGAGGGTTAGCAAACCGATGGTCAAAATAAAGAACTTTACAGTCCGAGTGGGAGTTGTCGGGCAATGTGTCGCCTCAACAGCCGGCGGGGGTATTCTGACCTTGGCGACGGTGTACTCGACAACCTTCTTGTCGGACATATCGCTCTTGTTGCCAACGAGCAGCTTGTTGACGCCCTCGGTGGCATATCTGTCGATCTCCTGGAGCCATTGCTTGACGTTGTTGAAAGAGTCCATGTCGGTGACATCGTAGACGACGCAGATGCCGTGGGCACCACGGTAGTAGGAGGAAGTGATGGTGCGGAAACGCTCCTGACCGGCAGTATCCCACTACCAAGTAGATAAAAATGTCAGCATTTGCGACAGCCTCATTTCCTCGACAACATTCTCCACCAGGATCAACTCACGATTTGCAGCTTCACCGTCTTTCCATCGAGCTCTATCGTGCGGATTTTCTAAGGTTTATCGTCAGTAGCCGATCGGTCAGCGTCGGCAGAGTGGGGGATTTCATACAAAGTCGACACCGATGGTGGAGATGTAGGACTCGGTGTATGTGTCGTCGGCGAATCGCAACAGAAGGCAAGACTTTCCAACACCGGAATCACCGATGAGGAGAAGCTTGAAGAGGTAGTCGTACCTGGCGTCGGGTCAGTATCGGTGTCGAACCTAAATCATATCGGCGATTTTCGCGCTTTGCGCGCCATGGCAGCGAAAAGATCGAAAAGACGATATCGATGAGGGGGGGAGACTCTGTGAGAGAGAACAAGGTCAGCTTAGCGGCGACTCCCGAGGATTCCTCGTTTCGCAAGGCAAGGAGGCGGAGGAGGCGGTTGAGGCAACGTACTACTCGGGGTTCATTGTGAATAGCGGGGGATCTGATCAAGGCTGGTAGGGATCGAGAGACGCGGCGAATATAGGCGCGCTGGGCGATTATATGGACGTTGTGTAGGTGTTGGGAGGTTGATGGATTTCGGTGGTGTCGTGTTGAGGTTCCAGGTTGTGAAAGCAACAAAGCCAGAGTCAGGACAGGTCAAGTGAGGTGGTAGGAGTCGGACGGAGTAAATGCAGGCTGCTGCTACGTCAAGGCTTCTAGCGCGGTGTACAGAGTACCAGTCAGGTGCCAGTCTCTGATTACCTTAGTGCTCGGTGTCCTGTGCCCAGAGTCCTGTGTCCTGTGCAGTGTCCAGTGGGTTACCGCCTGGCGGGAGGAACAAAAGGACCCACGTCGACCTGGGCAGTCAGATGTCACCGACGAATGAAACTCTTTGGAGAGGCTAGTACGGCACGGGATCAAGCACGTGATACATCTTCTTAGTGTTCTGGACCGGCTCCAGTGGGGCTGTTCAGACACCTCTGTGACCTTGGGGAGGCAGGCACCTGGCACACAAGCAACCTAGGCAGGGACGACATGTTGAGCCTGTCCTTATCCAGTGGCGTCCTCCAGGTCGGGTGTCTGCGCCTCCACACTACTTCTGGGACATCGGATTCCGGATGCAGTACGTAAGCAGGTGCCGGGGTCCGTCCTCGTTCCTGCAGTCCTTAATATCAGGGGGTCAAGTGCTATTTGTCTTCCATGAAACGCCTCTGCCAGCAGCTGCGACCTGCGGCGAAAAAGTTTCCTTTCAAAATGTCGGGTAGTATCTGATCTGGGGGCTCTCTCAACGTTGGAAAGCTTGTTTCGTTTCTTACCATCAATTCCGGTTCTATCATCTCCTAATACCCTTGCTCCATGAGCCATTGCCACATAAAGCAAGTTTTGGGCAATACGGGTATCCCCAGAGCAGTGACCTTGACAGGTATCCCTTTATCTGGGGGTGAGGCCGTTGGTGCCAAGACACCACATTCTGCGGTTCATGTGGAGCTTTTCAGGTCTTCAACCTCACTCATCCCGCATATCTACTTACACGTGCAGACCTTGGCTGACTTTCCATTCCCTTTTGATATATGACACGGCTGATGATTGTCAGAAAAGGAACTCCAAAGTAGCACTGCCACCCCCAAAGGTGATGAATCTCTTTGTCCTTCCCTCCTGAAAGTTAGTTCGCTAGATAGGAGTCCTAATTGCCCTTGACTTATTACTTCGCACCACCTTCTACTCCCATTGTTTTGTACGATGATGATGGCTACACTACTATTGAGTGGCCTCAAATGATGAATGATGATGACCGGCAGGCATCAACGTGACAATTTTATCCCTGCGAGTAGTAAGATTGTCGATTTTGACTGCCGATCAGTCAATTTCCCTCTACTAGAGAAACTACTCATGATATCGAAGTCTGTAAAGAAGCTGCCGCTTCAGTTGTCATCGGCTTCTTTCTTGGTCACAGCTTTCAGTCCAGCCATGGTCACTGAAAACTCGACAGCGCCATCCAGACCCTGCCCCGTAGCTCTCGAGTGAGGAGCAAAGACCACTTTCATCCATCGTCGCCAGTTCTTGAGCGCCGGCATGCCCCGATCATCGGCTTCATCTTCTATGTGCCGATGCACTCCATACACGGGCTTCTTGAAAAGCGCGATGCGGCACGCAATCTGTGTTGACCACACAAGACCTAGACTGGGCGTCTTGAGCCCATAGTCTGCAAACGGATCGTCGCCCCATCCCGTGAACCATCGTTGCTGGTGGTCAAATGCGAGCGCGGGAGGCGCAGGCGGGCCGAAGTCATCCAGGCCAGGAGGTTCAGGCATACTAGAACGAACATGTTCAGCTATGGACGATGTCGGTTCGACCGCCGACGGTGAGAAAGCTCTCAGCCCTCTGCTCCGCGATGCCAGTGGGCTTTCCTGGGTGAAACTCGGAGCAGCGGCCGTGGGCGCCGCTCTAGGGGTCGCCACGGGCGCAAAAGGACTGGAGAAGCGATCCGCGACTTGGTTGGCGACAACAACAGCCAAGTTGTATGTTTGGGCCAGCTCTCTAAGCAAGGCTCCAAGTCGCGTGAGTTCGTTGCTTCGGGCTCCCATATTTGACCCATGATTACCAAGAGCCCCTCGCTCGAATTCGGCTCGATAGTTAGAGGCGACAGAGTCCAAGACGATGAGTCCAGTATTCCGCCTCTCAACCTCTACGGGGACTTGAAATTGGAGAATGTGCTCCTGTGACTCAAGGTCAGGTGTCGAAGTGCTGAGGATACCGTCTAGAGACGGCTTGTCTTCCGGTGAGAGGTCTGCGAACCGCGGATTGGATGACAGTATTTGCGATAGACGCTTGGTGGACAACTGAGCCTCTGTTGTGATGTATATAGCCGGGCGCCCTAAGCCATACGGCGGCGGCAATTGAACGGCCAGCAATAAGGATAGCAGAAATTGCGTTTTTCCAGCGCCGCTTTCGCCCGTGATCTCGGTCACATAGCCGGCTGGGATTCCTCCCCCCAAAGCTCGGTCAAGAGTGTCGTCTAGAGTGCTAATGGTAGACCATTGATTCTCAAGATCCGTCAGAGAGCGCTTGAGAAACCGGCTAGCCTTTGGCGGCTCGTTGGCAGAGCCAAAGTCGCGATGGAGGGCATCGACGACGGCAGCGCAAAGTCTTTTGATGTCAAGCAAAGGCAGTTGAGTGCGCTTGCCCATGTCAACGACATCCTGAGTTAGTAAATCTGTGACGGAAAGCTGATGGCGTTCCAGAGCCTGCAACAGTCCAGCAAACTGCCTAACAGGGAAGTCAGGTATCAGTTGGAGCAGGTCGGACATGGCATGTGAAGAGAGTCCGGCGGCATGGATTGTCGAATAGCCTCTATATTCTCTTTGAAGTCTCCTGTCTCCGATGTGTTCTGAAGAGTTGATGTCTTGCGATGGTAAGGTCTGGTGAGTGAGATGTGAACAAGAATCGTCACAGGAGCTTGAGAGCCATTATGAGGTGTTCGGCCAGTCGAATCAGTTGAAGTGAAATGTTTGATAAAATCTGATCGCCAAGGCCGCGTCGCTGCTTCTTGTCGTAGCGTGTCAGTTACACGGAATGGGAAGTTATGGCCAGGATTGATCTTGCAAACGAGCGCGTATTCACCTACATGTATGGAAGGTATTGATGCACGCCATCATCACAAAGACAAGGCCAATGGAGAGAGGTTGATGATTCCCTCGGCTAGGTACGTACCTGATGGTGGTCATTGTTGATTATGTCATCACGCCACTGGTTGAGATCTGCTGGCACTGGCATAGAGTCAAAATCGCCAAATGACTTAAGCAGCTAAAGCAACCAATCCCTTTTTGCGATATGCATGCTTTTTAAACTTTCACTATGATCTTATAACTGATCCCAATTTCATTATTTTGAGTGTATGGGGAGGCGGGCTGTGTCCGCTCTCACGCCCGCGAAGTGTTCGAGTTTAACGTCCACCGCGGGGCTGACAGCACCTTTACTTAGTCATGCTTGGGCATTGACATAGACTTCTTATATATCTGCCGTTGTCGATAGCCTGTCAGCACGCAAGTAGAAGACGGGTCTGATATAATGCGTCTCTGGATGGCCCGACTCGGGTGCTGGGTCGGTCATTATTTCAATGTGATACTTCATCGCTTGGGACTCAAGTCCGTTCCCAGGTATCATCATCATGCTCACGCAGGACAACAACGTCAGAGACGCCAGCTACCGAAGCAAAAACGACGCTTGAAGGCCGAAGTCTAAGGGTAGAACCCATGGAGGAATATGGGTAGTGCTCACAAAAAGAGGGAGAAGGGTGTCAGACCTCGAAGTATGGATGAAGAAGCGGGATTGCTTGCATGGTGAAATTAGTTTGCACATGGGAAAAGGACTCAAGCGGTAAAAGTTCTTGCAATCCAAAATGTTGAACACAGCAGGTAGGCTATACCATCTCTAAGATCCCGGCATATCTAGCTTGAGAGCGACGGAAGCATGTTCATTGGGGACGGCGGGCAGATTTTCAAGCCCAATTTGAAGTTAGACCACCTCTTCATCCTTGGCTTTCTCTCCCACAAACGTTTTTGGTACTTGATTACCGGTAGCTTTAACAAAGCGTTGCTTAATTATATAGTTGTGATGATTTGAGATCCTGTCTCAGGCTGTGTTCATTGGTGCCAGCACAGTCACCAGCATGTCACTATTCTGCCGTAGTAGCTAATCAGTATCGAGATTGAGAGGTATAGGCCCTCTCACATATAACACCGACTCCCAGAGACTGATAAATGGTTGCTTTCCATTCAGTATAATGACTTGATTCATGTGAATGATTCATGTTTTTTGTGCCAAAGAAACGGCACCACAAATTTGGCAATACTGTAGGCAAGACGCCTGGGCAACCCAGACAACGCTGACAATGGCGAATCATAGCATGCCCAGCCAACAAGCCTCAGAGGTATGCAACTAAGGCTGGTATACTAGTCAATAAGAAAGATCTTCATCGCCTCATCGCCAACTCTGACCACGCCTGGTGCCTCGTTCTCGGTTCGATTCGAGGCCCTAGACTTGGAGGGATCCATCGGTGGGCTACCTTATGTCGGTGCAGAGAGACAATCGACCCGACGGATACAATGAAACCTTAACAGTGGAGTACAGAGATTAGAGGGGCGAGGTTTTAAAGCGGTTAGAGGAAGAGCTATCTTCCAATCGCAAAGCATCCTTGCCCTCCAGCGAGCCACTGAGGGACGTCAAGCAGTAGCGCACTATCTAAGCGGAAGTTGTCTTCCAATCAAGCGCCTGCCTGCCTTCCTACCTACCCAGAAAGGGGGACGCATGGCAGAGGTACCTTCTGCTGATGTTTTGGAATGGGATATCTGCGAATTTTGCTCTGTTGGCTACATGGCCTTTGCTGCAGCAATCTATATGGTCAATACGTATGCAAATAGGACCGGTTTTATTTTCTCTTTGACGCGAATTATTGATGGCGAATTTCCTCTGACTCTCGTCAATCCCAACTGAAGAAGGCTATTCATCTGCCATATCAGGCCAAGATTTAAGATGGAGGGGCGCACCTGCCGTCAAATTAACATTAACACCGTAGTGTGTAAGGTAAGTGGAAGGTGGGGAGTAGGTGGCCCGCGACTCAATGACAAAGTCTACATTCAGCAGAAGGAACGGCCTCTGCCCTGCGCATCTTCACCTTCTCCCCTCTCCCACAGATTCCATCGACGATGATGACATGGACTTCACCCTGCTTATATTCGACTGCATTCTTTTACTTCTACTTCTACAACACATCCTGCACTCGTAACTTTGGCTTTCAGTTCGAAAATCACACCATCAAGCTAAAGCTGTTGATCGGAATCTAGTCGACAGGGAAGTAAGCGCTGAACTCCTTAAGCTATCGTTAAAGGTTAACATGATCACATCAATATGATGTGAATGGCCTCAAATAACAGACCCCTCGACGCCCAAGCTTTCCACAGCCTCAACGGGCCTCGAACGCAGAAAAGTTCTGACGTTGACGAATGCCGATCTCACTGGCGATCACGACACAGTGGAGGCAATTTTTGGGACTCTTGTCGCGCGCGCGGCTACTAGTGACGTTTTCTTTGACTGGACGTCTCCAATCAACCCGAGGTTTCGAGCATTAAGGCACGGCGGAGTCGTCAACGTGGTGTTCGCAACTAGGCCTGCTTACGCAGTGGCACTTGAAGTACTACCGCCCGGGTTTGAACTTTTCGGTCGAACGGTCACTGTGGAGAGATTGAAAAAAATACGTCCATCAAATGTAAGTGTACATCGATCCCGTTGTCTCTTCTCCATACTACCTTGATCAATACACAGCGTCAGCTACGGAGTCGAGCTGCCGCTACCGCCAACCCTACTTTCACCGCCGTTGTCAACCTCACTCTTGCCGTTGTCGTTATCCCTACTCTTGCCCCGGTCGTCAAACCTAGTCGCGACGGATGCTACACTCACTGTTACCCATACTCGTGGCGTACGAGGTTGACAAGACCCCAGCACGCTAGGAGAAGGAGGAGGGCGCACTGCTTGCCGAGAGTGTCAACCATACTTATGAGGTACTTGACCCTGATATGCCTGTGCCTCAGTAAGACGACTGAGCAACAGCAGTATGACTCTGAAAATATTCTCATCTACATTCTACCCGAGCTTATAACCTGCTTTATCTCCCTCCCTCAAGGTGTTACCCCTTCTTCACCTCCGACCTCCCCATGGGTAACCGCCTTCTTCCCTCTTTCCATAGTAAGCTATATAAATCTTCCATGATGGACGATCTCCATCTTACAATGGGGCCACTTCCTTAGACTTCGGTCTCAAAGGTCGCTTTGGCAGCTCTGCGGAGTGTGGGTTCGATTCCCACAGCGATCACCAAAGAAGCAGCAGGACACCTGCATAACCACCAGGTAGATTTCTGACACTATTTTATAGTATTGCCTCAAGACCACTACTTAGTATGGAATCGAATTCAGGCGGGGAGGTGTCTTTGCCCTCGATGCTTGGGCGGCGATGTGCTAGATGGCAGCAGCTGAGAGCTTGTTTTGCGATTCAACCTGACCGCCGAAAAGGGCTTATCAATTCACAGCGTGAGACCCTTAACGATGAAGTCATGATGGCAGTTGTCATCACAGAGGAAAGGCATGTATGTCGGCGCCATGGGTGTATGCTCCCAACATCACCGAGCTTTAAGCAATATGTCGATAAGAGCTTTGCAGGAGGCTAGCAGAGGGTTCACGCTTCCTCTTTCGTTGCACCTCTTGTAGACTTTCCCGAAGCATCTCTCTAACAGTATTCTGTGCCTCTCAACGGTTTGCCTAGCCATGGTGCCATTTTAGCCACTAAAATTCCGGCCAACCTGTCCAAATTCTCGGTAGACATCCTCGATTGGCAAGACTTGTTGTTTTGATCGTTCTTCACACGTTCTTTCGCACGCCCGCTTTGGGAACAGATGGCAGACGGAGCATATATCTTGTAGCACCGATGGTGTTCAGGCGGGAGCCGCTAGCTATCCGCTTTCGCAATTTGAACAAACAAGCACAAGGCAACGAAAAAGACCAGAGAGTCGCATATTAGCTACTGATTCCGAAATCAATTGAGCTATGGGGCCGTTTTCCCATCTAAACCTGACCTAGGGAAACAAGCATAGGCCCGAGGCTGAAGCCTGCTTTCAGGCGGTGGTCTTGTCTAATTAGCAAATGCGAGAGAGGACTAGTGCAGCATACCTTCGTCGAAAGCTAGTCCGCGATGGCCTAAGGGCGCCAGACTCACACGCCGGAAAGTCCTCGATCAACACGCTAACAACGGGAAACCTGACTTCCAACGGCAAGGTATGATGCTTATGGCACTCTCGGTTCCAGCGAGGAAGGATCCGATCTTCACCTTCGGCGTCCTCTTGGGAGGGAACAAGACCCCACTGGCCCATTTATCAGGGTTCGTCATATGCTCTTCGAGAAGACCCTAGATCTAGGCAACAATATTGCCATAGCTTCCAGACTTGCACGACAGCCGCCAATCCCTCATCAGAGTCTTATCAATTCGACGGCGCTTGCAGCAAGTCTTTTGTGCTACATTTTGGCTACACTCTGTGGTGAAGTATCTTCCTAAGGACCGAACAATCTGCTATTTCTGGGACGTCTTATCCTCCCTGCGCAACAACACTTTGTCCCAGCTTCTATTCTTCTGCCATGTCTTTGTCTCCACCCCCGCCATTTTCTTCCTGCTCACGCTTGGTGCAGCAGCCCCAGTGGCTTTTGTTCCTCTCTTTCCGTCCACGCTAAAAGCACTCTTGTTATTCAGCTTTGGCAAGCCACAATGATCTATCTCTTCTGCAATTGGCCTGGTTAGACCCCAGATGCCTGACTAGCCCATCCTACCAGAAAACTAAGCTCTCTAGCTAGTCTAGGGCTGAGCAATTCGCGGATCTGCTGTTGAAGTCAATCCGAGCATGAACCGGTCCCGGGCGGTGCTTACACCTCATAGCTCACTATCAAGACAACTCGTACCTTGGGTCAGTGCCCCGAGAGCGCCCTTTGTGGAACAACAACGATGGAAACAGATACGGGAATACAAAGAGGGCTAGGTTTATAACCAAGACATTTAGCCCATCCGCTCCACGAGCCGTGTTCCCCTTCTCTTCTGTCTTGTTTGGTCTCCCTCGAGTCAACTTGACGCACAATACTGTAGATCGAGTCCTCGCCAGTCTCATTAAACCTGTTCAAAGTTCAATCAACATGGTGAACAAATCCAAGTCCCTCGCTGGTTTGGCGGCTCTCTCAAGCCTTGCCAATGCCAAGATCTACGAACTCCCCCAGGCTACCACTTCATTCAACTTTCCTCTCGACCAATTCAGCCCTCAGCCGACCAAGGCCCCCGCTTACGCTGACTTGAGGAAAAGGCAATCATCAACAACAACCACAGTCCTCGTTGCGCCAGATAACACTTGTGGCTACATCTCTGGGCGTGCCGGCGCGGCATACACATGCGGGACCGCCGCCAGCTGCATCTTCTTCACATCGGTGAACAGAAATACCCCTGGCCGAGTTGCCTGTTGTGACGCCAGTGATTGTGGTGCCCGGCGGACATGCTACGATTCTAAACAGGTCTCGTCGTCTAGTCTCTGTGATGGTGGCTGTCTTGTTGATCGCTTCACCTTGAAATGGTATGTATGATCTCGAAGATGGTTCTTTCTCCAAACGTGATAAGTACTCTAAAAGACTGATATCGTGTTCAGTACCAACACTGCTCGACCATACTGCAACACCATCTCCTTCGCAGACGGCATCTTCGACTACTGGTGTAATACGGCAGATATCTCGACCCCGCAAGCCGCGACGACCACTTACGCCGGCGGGCCGGCGCGCAACTGGACACCGCTCGCCCTGACAGACGACACCACATCCAGCAGTGTCATCCGGCCAGCCAGCTCCGGAGTCATCACAGGCACCGCCAGTGGTTCCGTGTCCGCGCCCTCTATAACTACCTCTCCTGACAATGATAATAATGGCGGGATCAACAACAATAACAACAGCAAGTCCTCGACCCCCGTCGGTGCCATCGTCGGAGGCGTCATCGGCGGCATCGCCGTCATCGCACTCATCGGCTTTGGAATCTTCTTTATCCTCCGCAAAAAGAAGAAGACGCAGCAGCAACCCGGACCCGGTTCGCACGGCCAACCTCCCATGATGAACCAGCAGCAACAGCATCAGCCACCACCAATGGGCTACGCTCCGGCGCCCCAAGGCTCGCCGGCACCGTATGCCGCCCAAACACAAACGCACTCCTTCTACGAGCCAAAGTACGATGGCCAGGGCGGATATCCGCAGCAACACTACGGCAGCACGCCCCCTCCCCCTCCTCAACAGGGCGGCGGCTACCAGCAACCCTACTACAGCGGTAACATGGCGGTCCCCGATCGCGCGGACACGACGAGCCCCAGTGCCATGTCTCAGGGAACGCACAGTAATCGCCTCAGCACGCGACCCGTCAGCCCGAATCACCCACAAGGCGGCTTCCAGCAGTTTGGCGGTGGTGGGCAGCCACAGCCGACAATTCACGAGGCGCCTGCGAGTGGCGATGGGCACAAGGGGCAGATGCACGAGCTTGCCTAGTTGCGTTTGTGAGGCGGTTGAAGCTATTGTCAATCTTGATCGTCGTTGTTACGACATGAGGCTTTTGTGTTCCTGTGTATAAATTTGTGTATCTTATTTGGGAAAGTTTCTTCATCGTGGAAGCGGTCAGTTGGTTAGCTACACAGACTGTAGCGACCACCCGACCGCCCGTCCAGGGTGAACTTGGTGTATTGGGGTTGTACCAGACTCGGGCTTTATGATTTATATCCTAATGAAGGTTGCTATCTTACAAAGAGATGTGTATGAACCTCTTGGTTTTGGCGGGGACTGACGGGCCTTTGAGAGGTTGATTCGCCCTTCGTCTTTAATGATATCTGAGCATGGTTCTGAGATCAATCGAGAAAAACTGATCCTTTGACACTTCTGGATTGGAGTAACGTTACAGAGTGAATCAAAAAGTTCCAACACGTGTAAAGATCGTACTCGACACGCAGCAGGCACAGCAGTTTCGTGCAACGTTTATGGACTAGGCTACCAAGGAGGGCATTAAGAGTCAACGACAAAACAGGACTCCGGTCAACGAATAAGTGTTACTTTACTAACAAAGACTACCTCCATTATTACCCCTACTCTCGTCCTTTTGCCAACCGCCTTTATTACTATCGCTTTCCCCTTCCTTATGACAACTACCTCTGTTGCTACCTCTGCACTACGTCTCCTTAAGGTATATTATGTAGGGGATACATGCTGGATGAACAAGATTACTCCTCGAAAGTAAACTGGATCCAGACTCACAAGAAAATGTCTTCCTTTGAGCAAACGCAAATACATCACAGGCATGTTCCCCAGAGGCGGTATCCGCGCCTTTGCAAGGTGATCAACCCAAGACTGGCTCGCTGATCTATAATGCCTCGAGTACAGCCGGCTGCCAAAGAAGGCAGATGGACGGTGTAGAAGTAGCGAAATGTCACGAGGTCACTCGATTGCGTGAGAAATAGTCTTGGGACTTGGAAACACAATCTAAGTAGATTTCTTCCCTCCTTCGCGCGCTGTGTATCCAAAGGGGTAAACTTCTTCCTCGATACCCTATTTACACGCTTCAATATTCGAGTATCGAGCTTCGTACTGGCCAAAAAGACCTCGCTCTGCTGACGTGTATACCAACACAGATCAGCTCACACACGCAGCAAATACCACAGCATTTCTCCGTGATGCAGCGCAGTCACGGTTCCACGATGCTTCTACCCGTCCATCCAGACAACGCTAATAGTCAATCAGCCGCAGCTTCTTCCCAATCTCCCTCCGGCGCGCCTGTACTGCCGCGCGCTCAGAGGGTTTCGTCTCTCCGGGGTCCATGTTCTCTCCGCGAGCCTTGAGTGCTTGGAGAAGCATGCCTGCGTCAAAAAAGCCGTCTATACACATTTGGTGTCAGCAAAAGCTATTTGAAATGGAATTTGAACGAAATGAAAGAGCAACTTACATCCTCCAAGCTCATCATCCTCACTAAGCGTAACACTCTCCTCCGT